AAATTTTTTTTATTTTATTTTATTTTTTATGGTACCTAGTAATAATTATTTTCTTGTTACATATTTATAAAAAAAATAACAAAAATTACGAATTAAATTAATCTATGTATGTAACTTAAACTTTTATTTTACATATATTATTCAAAATGTTTATTTTTATTTCTATTTCTACTGCGACGAATTTGACTGCTCCCTTCGTGATCTTGAATGACGAAACATATACACATATTATATACACATGCACGCACACATCAATATATATTATATTCATTCTCTGTAACTTTGCTTTGTATTTATACAGCGTACCAAACACGATAAATGTGTTTACCAATATCAATAACGCATTGTCGACGTATTTTTTTTTTTTTTTTTTGTTCCTATGCACGTATATTGAACGTATGTTTAAGATAAAAATCACGACGGGTACTGCGCAGTTTATTTGGGTATGGTTTAAGACATCAAGGGTAGCGCACCAGCAACAAAAAAAAAATGTTTTATTATTATATTCTGAGAAATACTCTCTCAGGCACCCACCCTCGTTAAGATTTATCTGCGTTCATTGTCAAACCAGTGAAATATATCGGAGACGGACCTCGTTTGAAACCTTTTTCTTAAATGCCTGTCAATTATTTTGGTTCATAAGAACAAATTTTTCAGTCATGATTTACTGCGTGACTTAAAATGATTATAAGTTATGATAAAACCGATAACCCCCTTTTATTTTATATTATAAGTAAATATGCTCTTTCGTTGAAATACAATAAAACATATTAAAACAATATCCAACCATATTAGAATGAACCAGGACACGAAGAATGTAAATATTTTGTGGCCGGGTGGTCTAGCAGACGCTACAGTTTCGACACACGGTTTATTTTAATAAATAAAAAAAGTATAACAAATAAATAGGTAAATAAATGTTTTTCGGTCATTATTTGTTTCAATATACAACTTGAACTTATCTTATAATCGCATCGATGAAGCTAAGAGCAAGTAAATAGTATCATACACATACGGTGAGAAGCAACAATAATCATTCTCTCGCACGGTCTACATATATTATTTTTTTCCAGTTTCAAGACCGACCACATTATCGACTCACTGATTGCACATGTAATCACAACAGGTTATAAGTTCAATACTAAATAAATACAATTATTCCGTCTTAATGAGTTATTTTATAGCTATTGCATTATTATATTTGTATATTATTATATGCTTTCTTTACCAATGTTTTTAAATTTTTATCAGTAAATAATTATTATTATGTTTTATCTCACTTTACCTCAACTGCTCATATTGAACAACTATTCTTCGTTGAAATAACATTTAATAGTCGAGGTTTGAAAAACATTATTATGCTTAAATCATAAGATTAAAAAAAAAGTTATGATAAATACGAGTACATACACATGGTGAAAAATAAAAAAACATCTAAAACGTAATCGGATAATACAAATACAGTCGAGTCGCGATAACTCGAAAAACTTGACAACTCGAATTGTATTTTATTCCCCTAAAAAATTCTTCCCCTATAAATTAATTAGATATCTCGAAGTGAATTTTTATCCTCCTTCAACTTCGAGTTATCGCGACTTGACTGTATTCGTTTGTGACTAGTAGTCGGCTCATTCTATTTAACAACCATACCTAATAACACTGACAACTATCAGACAGGTATCACGGAACCAAATAAAATATTCATCCACGACCGGTTATAGTATTATAGTGAAGGATCCATTGAGTCATGTTGTACACATTACATACAAGTGTATACATATATTATAAGATGCATACTTGAGTTCTTTCGATTGAAATTTTAAATTAATCGAGCCCCACTCATGGCCATAATATCACATAAGTTATTACTTAAGTTAGTGACTCTTAATCTGTAGGTCCGAGACACCCATGTTGAGTTTCTATAGCGATACTATCGCCTTCCTGGCAGTGCACACAAAAGAATGTGTTAGGATGAAATGAATAAATTAGTTATTAAAATACTTTTTTTTTTCATAAACTTGGAATTCGGGACTTCAAAGATTAGTTGTACAGCGACCCGTGACTACACATACTACAAAACATTAAGGAGCCGCTGACTTGGTTGTACCTGAGTTTAACGCGTGTAACTTTTGGATTCCGGTACATTACACATTAAAACGTAATAAACTGCGTATTTTTAAGTACACACAGTAATCATAAGCCGGTATGCATTTCATACTTTTTTAACAAACATTTTTAAATAACTTTTTCGGTTTTTTTTTTAACGATAGTCAAACTTAAAAAAAAAACAACGATAATCAAACTTAGGAGAATGTAATCTGTAAGTTTAACGTGTTAATGAGGGAGTTAATTTTTACGTTGAATCAAGTAGCAAATGTGTCCAATTGGTCAACAGAGTATTAATTATATAAATATATAAATAAATAAATAAATGTGTAGTCCGGAGTATTAAGAAATGTGTATTATTTGGAATTAAACGATTGTGATTTACCTGGTGATGAATTTTTAATTCTAAATCGGTCGTAAACACACCGGGTTACGCAATTATTTATTAAATTTTTTATATATTGTATATATTTATTTATCATAAATTAATATTTGTTTTATTTTATTACTAATTGTAACTTTAATATTATAGGATGTTTTAAAGCACTCTTTGTTCCGATCTGTAATCTATTTTTTTCTTTACATTAATTAGCACTGACCATTATTTTATTATTGCTAATTCTAATAACATAATTACATAATAATATATAAATAAAATATAGTAAATATAAGTATTCATCTGATAGTTCGAACGAGTCAAGTGAAAATAATTTAATAATAAATTAAATAATTAAAAGAATAATTTTATCCGAATTATCTTTCAGACAAAAAAATTATTAATAATTGTATCTAATTATATATTTTTTCGCTTCAACTGAATTTCTTAGGTCCGTGAAGTTGCTTTGCACCTCCTGGCTAATATTCGTGTAGCTTTATTAAATTTTAAATAAGTATAAAAATATTGCATTAAAACCGTAATATTACACAGTACATCCCATAAGTTATACATTGTTAGAGATTACGTTTATAAATCTAATAATACCAGCATTATATTAATGACATTTGGGGTATTTGTTAGTACTGCTTTCCTGCCTACCCATACATCGGTGTACTTCGAGGGTGGGATCAATCCACCCCTCGATCTTTTTTTCCTTAGAAAAACCTTAACGGACTAGCATTTTTTATCAGTTTATCGGATAATAGATATAATACTGATGAAGTATCAATCGATGAACTAATAATTAAACAAAAAAAAAACTTGATTTTGCATTACAATTGTAAATAAGAAATAATTATAATAAAAATAAATATTCGTAGTGTGTAAAAAGTAAACTATTTTTATTCCATAAATAGAATATTATTATTAATTTAAATTATTATTATTATTATTATTATTATTATTATTCTGTATTTAGTAAGTATTTTTTGAAAAACTCAATGGGTGCCCCCACGTAGCCCCATACTTTTATGTATTCCATTCAATGGCCCATAACCTCCCTACAATATCTAAATTCTTCGTTGTACCCATACAAAAGTTTAAATCGACTGGATCATATACATCGGTTAAGTATCAGCTAGATTAAATGTTGTACGGTGTGCGCGGCTATGGGTTTGAATTTGAAAAATATTCCGAACAACGTTTGGCGATTGGATTTCATTTTAAAACCGGTAAGTATAAGTGTGCAACGGAAACATTTGAAATGTAAAAGACGCAAAAGATGTAAAATACGCTCATACGTTTATTCCGCTAAGTTTCGTGCTAGTGTGTTTCGTCGGTATAGCCAGTATATCCGTATCCGTCCCGTAGGGAGTCAACCGACGATGAGGAAAGAAGCGAGGGGGGAAACCTTGCACGACAAAAACATCGGTCGCGTCGCAGCTATAATGAAAGAACATCGAAATGGGAGTTGCAGATTAGTTTGGGAACTTAGCGTTGTTCCCAAAACCGTGGTTCAACAAATTGTCAAGAATGGTTTATAAAGGAAGAGCGGCGTCCATTTGTCCCTGACCAATTATGACGACAACAACGCTATTTGCACGCGCACACGCGACTAGCTCGAAAGGAGCCGGAATTTTGATAAAATAATCGAAAAAACGGTTCCACTGTTCAACTACCCCCCATACTCTCCAGATCCAAGTCCCCCCGACTCTAAACTCTTTTCCCAAAACTAAAAGTGCAGTAGAAAGGAAATCGTTTAGCAACGATCGAAGACGTCCGGGAAGCCGTGACGAGCTGAATTGTATACGATTCCGAAAGATTTTTTTCATGAAATATGGGAAAGTTGAAATAACAAGTGTATACATAATGTAACGGGGACTATTCCGAATGGAAAAACGTTTGCGATTATTTCGTGCGTCCCGTGGCCACGGTCTAAGAAACTCATGGGTCGCACCGTGCATCATACCTCAATACTGCTCTACGACCCCTTAACACCGACGTGTTAGCAGTCGGGTAGGATGGCACGGTGCGCGCCAAACGCTCGGACGGTCACCCCACCTCCCTCTCGTCCCAGTGTCATTGGTGGGCGGACGAACCGGTTCGCCTCGCCGTTACCCGTGTGTGGGCTCGCGCACGAAATTCCGCACGCGCATGAGCGACGGTTGCGTTCACGTTGGTCACACTCCTCCGTATGACCGCGGGCGACGGAGAAAACGCCGCAGCGAGTTTGCAGCGAGCGCTATGAACATGATTACAACCGCGGTGTTATAGCGCATAACCACGGTCTAGGAAGATCACTACTATCTTCAGTTGTCGTGTTGAACACCGCCGTGCCGAATGCTTCGCGTCCTCGTGTGTTGCACCGGTTTGCACCTGTCGCTCGTCCCGCTCGGCGAATATTCAAACCGTCAACGACAATTCCCGTATTGACGCTATTTTAAACGTCGTTTCAGTGCGTGACAATCTTCGATACGTTTTGTTTTTTATACCGAGTTCACAGAAAAACCAACTGAAAATGGCCCAATCCACCACCCACCGGATAATAGATGATTACAAGGTTCAGAAACTCATTGGGGTAGGAACCTCATCGAACGTGTTCCTAGCTCGACACCGGGTACATATGTATTTTAATAAATTGTTTTGCGCTTCATTAGCCGTTTTACTGTGACTTACTACTAATATGGTAATCGTGTCCGAAAATGCGGTTTGAGATTTTTTCCATGATATATTCAAATCAAAATTTTTAATAGGTACCCATTTAGAATGTAAATGGACATGATTTTTCAAATTAACCATTTAACATTTGATTACAGTTAACAAATATCAATATATAATAATTTTGTGATTAATAATATTTTCTAAATTATATGTTTAATTTTTTTGTAGTATGTGTTACTAACCTGAAATGAAATACATCTTCTACATTTAATATACACTCATTAGGTACACAATTAATAAAACATTGTGTTTCATAAAAATAAATTAATCAATACTTAAATCAATTTAATTAATAAATAATTTTTTAATTTATGTTATATACTGAACTACATCTGTTAAAATTTTTATTTGGTTTTGTTTTAAGGTTACCTTTAAACGTGTTGCTATTAAAGTTATTAAGCGACTTCGATTAACAAAAGCTGAAGAAGAAGCTGTTATGTCTGAAATAAAATTTATGGAAACTTTCAATCACAAATATATTGTAAAAATGTTCGATTCTATGGTGGATACTCGATACATTTACATAATACAAGAGTATTGTAATGGTGGTAATTTGTTGGAATATATTCATAAACATGGAAGACTCTCTGAACAAACTTGTAAACAATTATTACAACAATTGGCAACAGCTCTAAAATACATGAGGTCTTTTAATATTTCCCATCTTGATCTAAAGCCGGATAATATATTTTTAATTAAATCAGAAACAATAACTATTAAGCTTGGAGGTTTGTATTTTATATTCACTATAATTATTATAATTATTATTAATAACTATTGTTATTATAATGATATTACAAGAATAGTCTTGTAAATAATTTACAACATGTACATTAGCATACTGTATCTTATTTAAAATGTACAGCAAATATTTAAGTTTACTAATTTAACATTTGTTGGTTTTAGATTTTGGTTTGTCAAAAGTAATGACAGAGAACACTAAAAATGGTTATTTTTGTGGATCGTTTATTTACATGGCACCTGAAATGATAATTGTCAAGGAATTTGATATTAAAGCAGATCTATGGTCAATAGGAGTAATTTTATATGAATGCTTATTTGAACACACTCCATATTCAATTTCACACACTGCATCTATAAAAAAACTATTTGCAAATATCAGAAAACAAAATCCGATAGAAATACCATCAGATATAATCAGTCCCAAGTGTAGAGATTTATTATTGGGGCTGCTTCAGCATGATCCAATTAATCGTATGAATCATAAACAGTTTTATATACATCCATTTATAGACTTAGATCATTCAGCTAGTGAGGAATCGCTTTCTAAAGGTGTTAAAGCTGCTGCCATGGCAACACATTTGCAATGGGAAAGCAGGTTTGCAGAATCGTATATCAGTTATATCATAGCACTTGAATACATTATTCCTTATTATAAAGGTACGACTTTTATAATTTTTTTTCATACTGATTATTAATTAGATTAGATTTAAATGTTAAGTTACATAGGAAATAAAACAATTCAAATAGAAAATGTGTTATTTTTCTCACTTATCATTATTTTATTAAAACCAATGAATTAGTTTTATCTAGAATTAATAATTTAAAGTTATCAATGATAATTTTTTTTAGATATTTTACCATACTAATTTTAAAAATGTTGACATATTTTACCAGTTCTTTTCTCTTCCTTCATCTTTCTCCCAAGTATTTCGGGTCGGCACATGTGTCCTAAATCTCTACTAGTCTTGATTTTCTATATCCCCTATGCACACATCAATAACCCTCATGTCCTTCTCAATCATATCCTTCCATCTCTTTTGATTTTTCTCTTCCACTTTTCATTTTTACTCGTTAATATTTCTTATTAATTTAAATGATTTCCCAAACTTTTTTACATAAGTTAACATCAGTCTTATTATTTTAAACAAATTCAATATATAAAAATAAAAATTTTGTATTTTTTTTTAGTTACATAATTTTTTTTTTTTTTTTAGCTGAAGCTGAAGGAACTCTAAAACGTGTGTTGAAAACTCAAATAGAATCATATATCGAGCGTATTCATCAACTGAAGCAACTTTATTTAAAGCCACAAGTAAAAAATGGTCACAGGTCCTAAAGATAATTTTCAAACATTAAGTAAGAATAATATTACACAATTTGATGTTCTACAAAATAAAATAAATTCATTCATTTTAAGTAGAATACACATATTACCACCTCTTCTAGTATAATTTACATGGTTCTAAATAATAATTTTATTTTTACAGAGTCCATGTGTAAAAAAATACCACTCTTAGATTTTGCCATAAATACAGGAATATCGGCTAAACTGTATGCATTCGAAGGAGAGATTGAATCAGCCATGGAGAGACTTAAAATTTGTTTAAAGTCATTACAATCATTAGATCAACAACCATTGGACAATGAATATAATAATATAATCAAACAACAAGTATGTTTAAAATTTTGATTACAATAATACTAGTTATGTCATTTTTATAACTTATGTACTGTTCATTAATCCCTCAGATAACTGAATGGACAGAGGAATATGAAGTTGTGCAAACATTATTACAAACAACAGATCAACAATTGGAGAAGCCTAGAATTAATCCTCTTAATAATTTGATTTTTTTCATACCTGACTTTAATGTATCTACGGACGATGAACAATCAAATTATGAAAGCACTGATGAATTTACTAATGATCAAACCACTGAAGCTCAAGCCGCTAATTATCAACCCGCTGAAGCTCAAGCCGCTAATTCTTCTGAAGAACCCACAGTTGTTACAGTCAGAAGAATTAAAAGGATTAAAAAATGGTTCATCAATTTTATTAGATTATTTAAGAGAAGACATGATTAGACTATAAAATTTAAATAAATAGTTAATATTATTACTACTATTATTATAATTATTATTGTTGTTATTGTTATTATTAGTTTATTAACGCCTAACGGCAGTTTGAACATGGATTAAAACAATACAATGTATAACTTAAATAAAATAGTATATAAGAAGATTATGTGATATTGTAAATTAAAGTACAAAATATAAAATAGTAAAATTAATTATTATCTAAGTTAAAGTTTATTTTTATTTTTTTATTTATTTTTTTTTTTTTGTTATTTTTTTTTAGTTTAATGTTGCAAATTTTAATGCTTTTATAATTTATTTTATGAACATTAAAATTGTATTTATAATATAAATATGTATATTCATATCAACTATGACTGAACTTAATGAATGTGTTCATAAATTTATTTATTGTCAACTGTATAAATTGTAATGTTTATTCAATTACTATGTATTTTTAATTATAAATAAAATATTTCCATGCTCTTTTTATAAATTAATTTAATATTTCTTCGAGTCAACGAAAAAATTACAACTATACAGATCTGTTTATCTAAAATGATATTATAATGAGAGTGTACAATGTACACTATACATACATTTACAGTTGAATAATAAATGTATGATTAATATTTTACCAACAGGAGTTGGTGAAATTGTGCAATGCAATTCTTAGAAAAGAATGTGAACTAGAATGAGTTATTTAAATAAAAAAAAATTTTGATAATAGTATGAAAAACAATAAAGACATGCTGATTTACAATACATTAATATATATTAAATGCGACAGTCATTTTGAAAAATTATAAAAAATAAATATACCTTGAAATGGTTTATAGCCAATGTCTATTAGCCATAAAACTAAAAATATTACTAAATGGAATGTTTCAACATAAATAATTCTAAATAAAAATCTCATGCCACCTATTTAGATAATAAAACAATACGTACCAGATAGTTTATTTATTGTAAAAAATATTTTTAAGACATTATTTTCAAGATTTCCTTTACTGAAATTGAACATCAAGGCTATAATACATTTTAGCTACAATAATTTATGAAAATACCATAACTATAAATATTTTTGAAGATAATCAAAATACTTGGTAATGTTTGATGATAACTCAACATAAAAACATTTAGATAAAAAAAACCACTTAGTTTATTTATTTTTCTAGCATATTTCAGCAATTTTTTTTTTAATACTATTTTGTAACAAAAATTTTCAAAAAATGTATTAAATAATATTTTGTTTTTTATTTTTGATATACTTTTTTATTATATAAAAGTATATTTTCCTATATGACTAAGTGTTCAACAGAAAAAAATATAAACACAATCTTAACAGTAACAAACCGTTAATGGATTGATAACAATTAGGCTCATTGATAAAACATGATCAAAGAGAAATACCCAACACAAACAATATTTTAGAAAATATTCAAATTCAAGTTATATATGTATACAGAACAACTTATGTTACACTAATTTTTAATAAATAATTTAAAAGAATAATTAATTTAAAAAAAAAAATTGAAACTATAAAACGTAGGTAATAAAATGTGACTACCAACGACATAATTGAAAATTTGATATGAACCAAAATTTTATCTTTTAAAATAATGGAAGTGATTGCATCTATAGTTAAAAGTAACTGAAATCCTTAGTACCTACTTAAAGTATATTATAAATATAGATGATATTTGATCACTTTTTATAATATTTATAAATAAAAATATATATATAAAATATTTATAAAAAAGTTAATATATTCAGATTGTATTCATTGCACACAATACAGCAGTAGGTAAATTTTAAACTATTAAGTATATTACTAACTTAAAATCAAGTTTATAGGGAAAATAACACATATATAATTTAATAAAAACAAAAATATACCATTAACAGATACCATTACAAGCCTATTATTATTCATTATATATACATATATAAATGATTTACTTGGTGTCTGAATGCTCTAAAATATAATTAGAATCGTGTTTGCTAAACAAATTGGTTTAATTACTACACATATAACATTGAGATTGCAGAGTACTATAATAAATTATCTTATAAGGATACAAAAAATCATTTTGTTCAAGTTCTGATATATAATACAATACTAATGGTAAATTAAATGTAAACAAATCTCTAGCATAGTATCATTAATAAATTCATGTTTCTAGAAACCTGAAAGCATCAATTTTAACCACAGTTATGATTTTTTTGCCAAAAAGCTAACAATGTATTTTAAATTAAAATAATATAATAACGAGTTTAAAAAAAGGGATCTTGTTAATTTTCATGTAAAATATATATCAATTTAATGACATTTTTTAAAAATATTTTGATATTCGGAGAGAAATGAAACCTCATATCGTCATCAAACCATATTTTCAAGTATACATTGATACCAAGTAAATGTGAAATAAAAGACTTTATTGGACTGATGAAATTATTATATTCATCAAATAATAAGAAAAAAAAGGATTATAACTTTAAAAACACTGATGGATATGAGAAGAAGAACAAAATATTCTAAAAACTACGAGTAGGTATGAACAAATACCTAATACCTATAATAAAAAATATATTTTTTCAATAGTTAAGTACAAAGGGGTATATAGTACATGTTTAGTATAGTGGAATACATTCCATTTTCTTTTGGAGAGGTTAGATTATATACATATATATCATGCCAATATTAAATGTTTATGTTTATATTTCCTCAAACATCAAATCATAATTGATAAATACTACATATTATACACTCATTAAAATATTCATGATGTGCATACATTCCAATTCAATCATTTCAAAACACAATTTTATTTTTTCAGTCCTTAGAGAGAGGATTTATTCCAAAAATCATACAATGTGTTCCAAGAGCATGGCTTAACTGACTTGACTCATTGTTTAATTTAGTTTATCCATATATCAATAAAAAAAAAAAGGTACTTTTTTAATCATTTTTTGTCATCCTTTTGTTGTATATCAGTTTGTAACTTACCAAATATAGTACATTAATTTAAGTAATTAATTATAGAAAAGATAAAAATCAAATTAAACAAGCTTTAGGAAAAACAGGACACAGTTTCAAAAAAAAAATGATGATATACTAAACATAAAATCAAGATTTAAAATTCTTACAATAATATAAAGTATTCTAAAAGGCAAAGAAATATGAAGAAAGAACTACGCTGGAGATTTTGAAATGTAATTATTCAGAAAAATTTTAAATTTTACCAGATTATATTTATAGGCAACAAAGGTTATCTTCCACATATAAACATATACTGTCCGATTGACAAAGATTATTATTTGGACATAATTCTAATTAAGCAACCTATCGATTTTTTTAATTTATTTTTTCCAAAATGTGTATTTTAGGGTGTTATATAAGTATGTAAAAAAAAAAAGAATCCCAGACAAACTTCGTTTTGAAAAACTTCAAAAACTACATTTTTTTAATAACGCGCATTTTTTTTTTTAAAAATACTTAGAATTGAATATTTAATTTTAATTTTCACATATTTACATTTTTATTGTCCCTGTTACCTTCTAGAGGTGGTTTTGCATAGCAAGTCGAAGGATATTTTCGAATTGCAGAGCGAAGCGACGGCGCCAAAGAGCGTAGCGACCAGTGGCGAAACACTCGTATAATAGTTTCATTGGCCATTGCCGATACCACACGCATCGTTTGCAAACAATTTTTATTTCATTATTCTTCATAAATATTTCGTATATAGGTCGTATATAGTTAACAAGATTGGCCAAAAAATTTTTTTTTGGATATTTTTTTTACAAGCCCAGTGTTCTCCAGTATCATTTAAGTTTATCTGATGAACTTACCGATTATTTTAGCCGAAACAGTATTGAATGCACATTGTTCCTCCCTCCGAACAGCAGACGACATATAAACGGTCGAGGGTTGTAGCGGGGTGTCCGGTATTCAGAGGTTTCATCGGATACACGCACATAGTCACCTGGAGGCGGCTGTGTCAGACAGATATAATGACTGTACCGTGTTTTCGTCACAACTCAGGTGCACATATGAAAAAACGAAAAGACACTCGCGAATGTTCGGCAAACATGTTTTTGCGGCTTGACGCAGTAGATTCGGTACGTCGATAGCCGACGAGAAACATCAAAACGAACGTGACAAAGCCGGACAGCGAATGACTCGTCCGCCCGTCTGTCGGACGGCGGCGCGAGGGTTTTCCCGACGGATCAACGCGATCGGAACGCAGAATGTTCGTACCGCGGTCGGAATAATATACAGATAATAGTCGAAATAAACGTATATTCTTTATCTGGCACTCTCGACGAACCGACCGGTGGGAAACGTTTTCTGGAATTTTCCATTAGAGGATATTTTTGTGCCGGTCTCCGAAAAACCCGGATGGAATTTTCATGGAACGTAATCCAACAACCGTTTGATCAACTGATACGAGTAATGACAATACGTGTTTTTCACATCTCTTTGGCCAAGCTGGGCCGGCGTTTGGGAAGGCAAAACGGGGCATTTGTCCAGGGCCTCGCGCTTAAAATTTTAATTGAAAAATATTTCGTCAGGAAATCTCATAAAATAAAACGTGAAACGCATGGATCGCCTGGCTGGTATAACTAAACAAATTAACAAAATAATATTACATTATATTTAATATGACATGAATGCATCAAACCGGGATGCCTAGAAAGTTTATCTTATCGCATTTCTTAAATTGAATTAGTTATTACCCGATATGGCGTGCAGCTGTCACCGAGTCTGATCACATATTATCGTATTTAATAACGGCCTACAAGTCTACAGGCGACTATAGTTATTGGTAAAATAAACCTTTGTCAAACAGAACGCGTTATTAACGCTCGTTAAAGCGTTATTAACGTCGCGTGAATTAATATCACCTCATGCGTGTCACGTCTCGTTTCTTAGCTCACGCATGATAGCACGTTTTGATTTTCTAACATCACACATATTTTCGACTCGCGTGTCATCACGCATTTAG